AGGAAGAATCTAAAAATCTCAACAGGCCAATAACTATGGAAGAAATTGAAGCAGTCATCAGAAAGCTTCCAGCAAACAAAAGCCCAGGACCAGACGGCTTCACAGGGGAGTTTTACCAAACATTCAAGGAAGAACTAAAACCTATCCTCCTCAGACTACTACAAAAAATCCAAGAGGAAGGAACACTTCCAAGCTCATTCTATGAAGCCAGCATCACCCTAATACCAAAACCAGGTAAAGACAACACAATGAAAGAGAATTACAGGCCAATATCCCTCATGAACATAGATGCCAAAATCCTCAACAAAATCTTAGCAAATCGGATCCAGCAGTACATCAGAAAGATCATACACCATGACCAAGTAGGATTTATCCCAGGGATGCAAGGATGGTACAATATCCGCAAATCAATCAACGTGATACATCACATAAACAAATTGAAGGAAAAAAACCACATAGTCATATCAATTGATGCAGAAAAAGCATTTGACAAAATTCAACACCCATTTTTGATAAAAACTCTCAGCAAGGTGGGAATAGAAGGATCATACCTCAACATAATAAAAGCCATATATGACAAACCCACAGCCAACATCATACTCAATGGACAAAAACTAACACCATTTCCCCTAAAAACAGGAACAAGACAGGGATGCCCACTCTCACCACTCCTGTTCGACATAGTACTGGAAGTATTAGCCATTGCAATTAGACAAGAAGAAGAAATAAAAGGCATCCAAATTGGAAAAGAGGAAGTAAAACTGTCCTTATTTGCAGATGACATGATATTATACTTAAAAAACCCTAAAGACTCCATCAAAAAACTATTAGACTTAATAAAAGAATTCGGCAATGTAGCAGGATACAGAATTAACGCCAAGAAATCTATGGCATTTCTATACACCAATAGTGAACTTGCAGAAAGAGAGACTAAAAAAGCAATCCCATTTACCATCTCACCAAAAAAATTAAGCTACCTAGGAATAAACTTAACTAAAGAGGTAAAAGACCTCTACTCAGAAAACTACAGGACGTTGAAAAAAGAGATAGAGGAAGACATAAAGAGATGGAAGAACATACCATGTTCTTGGATTGGTAGAATCAACATCATTAAAATGTCCATACTGCCCAAAGCAATCTATAAATTCAACGCACTTCCCATTAAAATACCAACGGCATATTTCACAGACCTAGAACGAACTCTCCAAAAATTCATCTGGAACAAAAAACGACCCCGAATAGCTGCAGCGATCCTGAGAAAGAAGAAAGTAGGTGGGATCTCAATACCAGATATCAAGCTGTATTACAAAGCCACTGTTCTCAAAACTGCCTGGTACTGGCACAAGAACAGACATATAGATCAATGGAATAGAATAGAGAGCCCAGAAATCAGCCCCAACCAATACGCTCAATTAATATTTGACAAAGGAGGCAAGAACATACAATGGAGTCAAGACAGTCTCTTCAATAAATGGTGCTGGGAAAATTGGACAGATACATGCAAGAAAATGAAACTAGACCACCAACTTACACCATACACAAAAATAAACTCAAAATGGATAAAGGACTTAAATATACGACCGGAAACCATAAAAATACTAGAAGAATCCAAAGGCAACAAAATCTCAGACCTATGCCGAAGCAATTTCTTCACCGATACAGATCCTAGGGCATTGGAAACTAAAGAGAAAATAAACAAATGGGACTACATCAAAATAAAAAGTTTCTGCACAGCAAAAGAAACCATCAACAAAACAACAAGAAAGCCCACTACATGGGAGAACATATTTGCCAACATTATATCTGATAAGGGCCTAATCTCCAAAATTTATAGGTAACTCATACAACTTAACAAAAGGAAGATAAACAATCCAATCAAAAAATGGGCAAAGGATCTAAATAGACATCTTTTAAAAGAGGACATTCAGAAAGCCAAGAGACATATGAAAACATGCTCAAAGTCACTAATCATCCGAGAGATGCAAATCAAAACAACAATGAGGTACCATCTCACACCTGTCAGACTGGCTATCATCAACAAATCAACAAACGACAAGTGCTGGAGAGGATGTGGAGAAAAAGGAACACTTGTGCACTGCTGGTGGGAATGCAGACTGGTGCAGCCACTATGGAAGACAGTATGGAGTTTCCTCAAAAAACAAAACATGGAACTCCCATTTGACCCTGTGATCCCACTTCTAGGAATATATCCCAAGAAACCAGAAACACCAATCAGAAAGGATATATGCACCCCTATGTTCATAGCAGCACAATTCACCATAGCTAAGATTTGGAAACAGCCTAAGTGCCCATCAGTAGATGAATGGATTAGAAAACTGTGGTACATCTACACGATGGAATACTATGCTGCTGTAAAAAAGAAGGAATTCTTACCATTTGCAACAGCATGGATGGAACTGGAGAGCATTATGCTAAGTGAAATAAGCCAGTCAATGAAAGAAAAATACCACATGATCTCACTCATTTATGGATAATAAAGACCATTAGAAACTGATGAACAAAAATAGATACAGAGGCAGAGCAGCATCAAACAGACTGTCAAACTACAGTAGGAAGGCTGGGGAGGGTTGGGGGGGGCGGTAAGAGATCAACCAAAGGACTTGTATGCATGCATATAAGCATAACGAATGAACACAAGACACTGGGGGGTAGGGGAGGCCAGGGGAAGGTCAAGGGGAAAAAAAAAGGATACATATGTACCACTCTTTATAATATTTTAAGCAATAAAACAAATTTTTTTTAAAAAGAAGAAATATATGGTGAATTTCTTCATTTCTAAAATGAAGAAAGGGGCTGCTGCCCTCTCCTCCTCCTGAATTCTGCATTTGGCTCAGTCCTGTGCCAAGAACATCTACTTGTTCATTAAGTGTCCTGTTGATGAATGATCTATCTGGACCATGCCACTGTGCAATGGGTGAGGGAATTGCAAGAATCCTGGCAATATTGGTCAGTTCTAACAGAACCTGAGGTAAGAGACTGTGCAGGGCTATGGAGTCAAACAAGGACACAAGTTGACTAAGATTGTTAGTTTAAGTGTATCATTTTTTGCTGATATGGGGCAGGGAAGTTTGTTTTGTATATGATTACTTCCCTCAGGAACAGGGATGGGTTCGTGTTTTACTTGATTTTTTATTTTCTAAGGAACTTTAAACTCCATGGCTCACTTCCTTTTTCTCTTTCATTATCAAATCACTAAGGAACACCCACAATAGACATGGTGCCTTCCCATGAATGTCACCCTTGGTCCTATACACCTGCCCAGTCTCTTTCCTTTTTTTTTTCTTAAACAGCTTTATTGAGGTATACTTCACATATTCTAAAATTTACCCTTTCAAAGCATATGATCCAGTAACTTTTTAGCATATTCAGAATTTTGCAATCATTTCCACAACCTAATTTTGGAATAGTTTCATCAAAAGAAGCGCCATACCCACTAGCAGTCACTCCCATTCCTCTCCACCCCTTCATCCCTAGGCAACCACTAATCTTCTTTCTGTCTATACAGATCTGCCTATCTGAAGGTTTAATTAAAATGGAATCATACAATATGTGGTCCTTTGTGCCTGCCTCTTTCACTTAAGTTAACCTTCTTGAAGCTGCTCTTTCATAGGCGTAGCCGTCCATCGATCCACTCCCTTGCATGTTCTCAGTTTAAGAAACTTAGGAACCTTTCCAAACCTCACTTTTATCTTCACTTTTAGACATCTACTTTCACTCACTGAAATAAAATATTAGGGCACTTATGCAAAATGGGATACAGGTATGTATAGCATTATCTTCCACATTTAGAATATAAAATAAAATTGAGATGTATAGTGATAAACAGTGCAAACCATCAGCAATCAGTGTTGCTTAGGAGCTTTTAACCTATTCTCAGAATCCTAAAAGCTACTAAACCCCATTCTCTTCTGCTAACACAGCAAAGAAAATACAACTTCTTCGAACACCTTATCTCAGAGCCCTAACATTCTCAATCATGGTGCTCAATTTTGTTAGCAGCTGAGAAACCCAGAACATAATGTATAATAGAATTAATAGATACAGGCAATTTTTCCCTAGGACAATACCACATAAAGTACTCTTGTGTCTTTAAAAAGATGATTAATGCAAAAATGTTAATCACATGTAGGTACAGAAGGGGAAACACACAGTTTTGTCCAAGGGTCTGTCTAATTACTGAGTCTCTATGATGACTATTTAGTCTCTGATTCTTTGTCATTCATCATAAACTTCTGCACAGGGATATGTGCCCTACAGTGCCAGTTCCTAATTCCCTTTTCTAGTTACATAGTGAAGATGAAAGAACAAAGGTGATGCTATAGCAATAGCAGACAAGGAATTGTCTAGGGATCCCTAATGAACCAATTGGTCAATCAAATATTAAATATGACAAACTGTAAGCATTCCTATTACAACAAATTTCTTTTTTCGTAAAGTTGACAAATCTTTGATCTGGTTTGGTTACTTTGCTTTGAACAAACTCACAAGTGAAGAAATTAATCCATAAATCCCACCAATAAAAAATAGGTTAAGTAGGAGAACTAACACAATTGTTTAGGCAATTCTTTGTTTAAAAAGATCTCTGTGTACTAATACCAATCTTTGCCCTACCTACAATGAGATGCTGTGAGGAGGCTGGTTGGTCTCCTGACAGCCTTGATCAGTACTGACATCTGTGGTCCTTAAGGTAGTATATGTTAGGCAGGGATAGACCATTGAGGGTGATGGGGCACACCACCTCTACTAACTGAAAAAATACTTGTGGATTGCTTGGCCAATTGATGTATTAGGTCATATCTGATGAAGGATGACAGATTGAGCTTCCAGATACTTCTCGTGCATTTTCCTGTCACTGTGCCACTTGTGGGTTTCCATTAGAAGAGCGAGGAAACTGTAACTCAGCCCACAATTACAAGAGCTGTAGGTCAATGTTTTAGGTGACATTTTCCTACACTGTACACCTGAAATAAATTTCATCATTAGTAACACCAGGAGAAGATTCTCTTCTTCCATCTGTTTAGGGCATCTTTGATTTCCTTGTTTCTCAGGCTGTAGATCAATGGATTTAGCATAGGGATTACAACAACGTATAATACCGACGCAAACTTGCTTTGGCTCAGAGAATCTCGAGAATTAGGATACAGATAAACAAAGGTACTAGAACCAAAGAAGAGTGTCACTGCGGTCAGGTGAGAAGCACAGGTGTTGAAGGCTTTGGACCTGCCTTCAGCTGAAGTGATCTTCAGAATGGTGGCAACAATATAACCATAGGATATCATAATAATGAGAGCAGATGAAAGCGCAAAGATTACTGTCAGCACAGACAACATGACTTGAACATAAAAGGTATCAGAGCAGGATAGGATTAGCAGCTGGGGCAAGTCACACAAAAAATGGTTGATGATGTTTGGCCCACAGAAATGCAGCTGAAGTAAGGCACACAGTTGGATAAATGAGCCAAAGAATCCAGTTACACTAGATGCTGCCACTATCTGCACACAGAGGGTGGGGGACATGATGGTTGTGTAAAGCAGAGGATTACAAATGGCAGCATATCTGTCATAAGCCATGGCTGTCAGGAGACAGCATTCAGTCAGACCCAGGCCAGAGAAGAAGAAATATTGCATGGTGCACCCCATAAAGGAGATGAATTTGTGCTTCTTGAAGAAGTCTGAGAGCATCTTGGGGGCAGTAGTAGAAACATAGCAGATGTCCAACAAGGACAAGTAACTGAGGAAAAAGTACATAGGTGTGTGCAGATTGGAGTTAGTACTGATGAGAGTGATGAGGCCCACATTCCAGGCCACTGTCATCAGGTAGATCCCTAGGAATATTGAAAAGAGGACAATGGTGAGCTTTGGAAATTCAGAGAATCCCAAGAGAATGAACTTCATAATCATTGTACTGTTTCTTCTCCCAATCATTGCATTGGTGATCCTAGAATCTGCAGGCAGAGAAGAGAATAAATCTCTAAGTCAGTTGTTATATCAATTTCTATTAAAATAAACTACCTTCTACCCACACTAAACATAGAGTCAAGAGAAATAGTGAGCCATTTTAAATGACACAACCCTGGGTAAATTTGCCTCTATATAGCTCTAATGGTTTTACGAGTCAATTTTCCCACATATAAAAGAGGATAATTACACTTTTCATTATTAACCCATAAGATTCTTTAAACACAAAATAAAGTATATTGACATTAAAAAAAAAACATTTAAACCGGTGCTTTGGAAATTTTAGGATATTAGTAATGGGGTTATAACTCCTGTGGAAAGCTTAGTGACTAAGAGCATGGCCTTAGATGTCATATGGCTGGTTTTGGATTGTGGCTCTGTTATCTGTGAGCTTTTTAACTCTGAACACATTGTCTATGATCTTTCTGCCTGTTACTTTATCTGTAAAATAGGGATGACAATAACAATAGGACCTATCTCAGAGGGCTCTTTGAGGTTAAATTAGTTCCATTATATACAGTGCCCACCATGCATATAGTATTATATGAAGTGATGTCAGTAAGGAATAGCTTCCTTTTTTAAAATATATATTTTTATTGTTGATAGTATTACAGATATATCCCATTACACCACTTTTCCCCCCTCCTAGGAAGAGCTTTCTTATACAATTTTGAAGCACTCTTTTGTTTGTGAAAAACTTAAATGTTAAAGTGCTGGTCTTAGAGATAACATTATCAGACTATTGTTGAATTATTGTTACAAATCATTAACAAATTTATAACTAAGAAACATTATAATTGAAAACCAATTATATATTTATAAACTATTAAAAAGTTAAATAATAAATTATAACAGAAATTATAAAACATTTGCAACTTAAATATATTGAGACATACTGTTTTTAAGATCTTGTAGATTCTTAATTGAAATATAATTGACATGTACACACTATATAAGTTTAAAAAGTACAATGTATTGATTTGAAACATTTATATATTACAGTATTATTACCATCATAGCTTTGGCTAACACCTCTATCATGTCACATAATTATTATTTCTTTTTTTGGTGAGAACACTTAATAAATCTTGTAGATTTAACTAAAAGTGTATGTAGAGAGACACAGTTGTCTTAAGTGCATATAAAGGATTAAAGAAAACAAATGATTTAATAATAATTCTTAGAGAGGAAAGAACAAAATATTTTAAAATTAAGTATAATTTCAAAATAATACAAGAAAATCAAAGTTGATTTTTGTTAGATCTGATGACACCAAGACAAAACAAAAAATTTAAAAACAATGGAAATGGGGATATAGTGCTAGATCCTGGAGATATTATAAAGCTAATAAGAGAATACTCTAAGCAATATTATATCAATAAATTTTAAAACTTAAATAAAATAAAAATGTAACTTGCCAAAACTAGAATAGAAAATTTGAATATTCTATAAACACTAAAAAATTTGAATCAGTGGTAAAAGTCTTCCCTTGAAGAAAACTTGAGGCCAAAATGGTTTTTATCAACAAGTTGTACTAAGGTCAATTGGGGGGAAAAAAGGGATATATGTCCTACTATGTATAATACTTTAAACAATAAAAAAAAACAAGTTGTACTAAGAATTAAAAGAAAATAATAATTCTAATCATGCAAAAATTTTTCTGTATGTGCCACACTACTTCATCTGTAAGGGAAGAATGTTCATCACTTCATAGGGTTTTTGTGAAGACCTATTTTAGGATGGTATGTAAAGTATATAATAGAGTGCTGGTCACATAGTAAGCTATCAAAAATGAGAATTACTATATGAATAATGAATAATAATGATTATATCATAAAGGTATTTTGCTAAATAAAAATCTTTTACAGGGGGAAAAATAGATCATTTGGTGGTTAAAATGTGGGGCTCCTTAGCCCAATTGGTGAGCTATCATCAGATCTCCATGCCCTCCAATCCTCACTCCACCTACTTACTAATGCCTGAAATTTCATGTTAGATGGTTTTCTTTTGGTTCAAATACCTGGGGTTTTGTTAAAATTCAAAGAATCCCATTGGATAGAGAATATGGAGCATGGCTACTGTGAGAAAATGTAAAGTTAAAATGGTCATCAAACCTGAATACATGAGCTCTCTGGTTTTAGGGCACTGAAGAACAGGATTGCAAGAGTGAAAGAGAAGCCAAATATGAAGAAAGAAAGCTATTTCTATTTTACTCACCCAGGTATTCTTGTAGATATTTCAACAGGTGTCTTGTAGAAATCTGGGAGGTGCTGCCCCCACAGCTGCCTTCTGCTGGACCTGAATATTGACTGCACTCTAGGTATCTAAATGTGCATAGAGTTCTTTCAGGAATTAGAGGCTATAGACATCATATGAGCATTCAGGATGAAGACATTTACTTTTTAGGCTCTGGGTTTTTGGCCATGGTTCCTGCTAGCCATGGCTGCAAGAGAGGTACTTCTAAATAAGAATTCTTTTAAGTGTCTCCTTGGGTCTAGTGTGGAAAGAGAAGAGACAATTAACAGAAAGCACCATTTTCAGTTAATTACTCTCTAGAGTGATGGATGGAGAAAATGAGAAATGCTCCTAGCTGATTCCATTTCTCCAAACTTTAATGTGCCCTCATGACCTAATTTAAGCAAGTTCCAATTTTCCTTTCTAAACTTTCAGTATTATGACATCTGGGATGAACTCTCAACATAGAGTGATCATATCATTCATTATCCAAACTCAACAACTTTGGTCATGAAAAGGAGAGTTATTAATAACCATGTCAGGACAATAAGCAGAATTGTCCCAAGCAAACCAGGTTGTATGGTCACCCAAAATTTAAGGTCTTTATCAGAACAATCATTCATTATGGTTTTGGTGATTATGTGCTCAGGCTCTGGACAGACCTACCTGGGTTGAATTCTAACTTAATTAGTTATGAGTTCTGTGACCTTGACCCTTTTACTTAATCTCACTGTCCCTTGGTTATGTAGTAAAATGAAGGCAATAATAGCAAAACTACCTAAAAGGGTTGTGATGAACTTAGATAAAATAATATCTGCCCAGTGCATGGAAGCACTTAATGCATGCTATAAATTTGTTATTACTAATATGATCATTGTAATTTCTCTAATTTTCTGTTCATACTAGAGGCCCAGTGCATGAAATTCATGCTCTCGGGTGGTCCCTCAGCCTGGCCTGCACCCTCTCGCAGTCCAGGAGCCCTCAGGGGATGTCTGACTGATGGCTTAGGCCTGCTCCCCACAGGAGCCCGGCTTCTGGCTGAGTGGCACTCCCCCTGTGGGAGCACACTGACCACCAGGGGCAACTTCCACAATGAGCATCTGCCCCCTGGTGGTCAGTGTGCATCATAGCAAGTGGTCATTCTGCCATTTGGTTGATTTGCATATTTCCCTTATATTATATAGGATTTTTACCAAACTGGGGTTATATTAGTATCTTCACCAATTGGGACCTAATCTTTGAGGGATTCCTAGCACTCTCTTAATAATGTGTTATAGTTTTTCTTGGCTTGGAAACATGTGGACTAAATAAGTTATGTTTCCACACACCCAACATACAATGCTTACAGGTTAACAGCAATAAACATCTTTAGAAAGTGAACATGTCCCAAACACATTTTATGAGATCAATATTACCCTGATACCAAAGAAAGAAAGAAAACTACAAGCAATAAAACTCTAGCTCAATATCCCTCATGAATATAGATGCAAAAATTCTCAGCAAAATATAAGCAAATCTAATTCAACAATGCATTAAAAGTATTATGCACCGTTATCAACCTGGATTTATCCCTGGGATGCAAAAAGGGTTCAACAGTCTGGCATGAGTGGCTCAGTGGTGGAACATTGACCTATGAACCAGGAAGTCATGGTTTGATTCCCAGTCAAATCACATGCTCAGGCTATGGCTCAATTCCCAGTATGGGTTGTGCAAGAGGCAGCCAATCAATGATTCTCTCTCATCATTGATGTTTATATTTCTCTCTCCTTCTCCCTTCTTCTCTGAAATCAATAAAAATATTTTTAAATGGTTCAACATACACAAATCAATAAATGTGACAACTCATTGATAAATTACTAAAAATCACCACATGATCATCTCAATAGAGTAGAAAAACCATTTGACAACACACAACATTCCTTCATGATAAAAACTCTCAATAACTTGTGGATAAAAGAAACATATCTCAACATAATAAAGACAATATATGACAAACCCACTGCTGACACCATACTCAATGGGAAAAGACATAGAGTTTTTCCTCTAAAATCAGAAACAAGAGAAAGGATAACCACTTCCACCACTCTTATTCAACATAGAACTAAAGCAGTTAGGCAATATAAAGAAGTACGAGGCATCTGAATTGGGGGGGAAAGGAGTAAAATTATGTATTTGCATGTGGTGATTTTATATATATAAAAGATCCTAAACACTTCACCAAAGCTGTTAGAATTAGACAGTAAATTCGGTAAGGTTGCAAAATATAATATCAACATAGAGAAATCAGTTGCATTTACAAACACTAACAACAAAACATCTGAAAAAGAAATAAAGAAAACAATCCTATTAACAAGGTAACCATTGGTCTAAATGTTCTTCAGGGTAAAGTCTGAATAACTGTGTTTTATTTTCCCCATTTTTTAAGAGTTTTTTATTTATTTATTTTTTATTAGTTAAGGTATTACAAATGTGTCCTCATCCCCCCATTAACCCCCAACCACCCCCCCCAGCACACTCCTGCTCCCATCCCCCTGTTGTCCATGTCCATT